AGCACCACCACCAGCACCACCATCAGCAGCACCACCAGCAGCACCACCATCAACACCACTTACAAACACCAGCACCACCACCAGCACCACCATCAGCACCTCCGAGGGCACCTCCGAGGGCAGCTCAATGGGGAACGAGAACGGCTCCGCGGTGGACGACCTCCACTCGGTGGAGATCCACTTGTGGTACAAGAAGTTCATGCGAGAGTGCCCCTCGGGCCAGCTGACGCTGCACGAGTTCAAGCAGTTCTTCGGCATCAGCAGCGTCACGGCGGAGGGCAACGCCTACATCGAGCAGATGTTCAGGACCTTCGACATGAACAAGGTGGGAGGGGGGGGCGAGAGGGGGGTGGAGGGGGAGATGGGGGGATGGGGATGATGGAGGGGGGGGGAAAAGTGGAGGGGGCGTGAAGGGGTGGGGGTGGAGGAGGGGAGATGGGGGTGGAGAGGGAGTAGAGGGGTTGATGGGGGGAGGCGAGTGGGGGGTGGAGGGGGAGTGGTGGAGGGGAGATGGGGGGGATGGGGGTGGTGGTGGAGGGGGCGATGGAGGGGAGATGGGGGGTGGGGGGGGGGGGGGGGTGGAGGGGGGCTGGTGGGGGAGTAGGTGGAGGGGGAAATGGGGATGATGGAGGGGGAAGTGGAGGGGGCGATGGGGGTGAAGGGGTGGGGGGTGGGGGATGAGGTGGAGGGGAGGGGGCGCTACGGGGTGGTTCTCGCCATTCGCAATGCGGTGACCGGTCACGTGACTCGTGGGGGGCAGCCAAGTGGGGGGGGGGGGGGGAGCTGCCTTGCCCCCCCACCCCCGCCCCTCCCCCGGTGGCCAAAGCTACGAGTTGGGAGGGGAGGGGGGCCCCGCCCCTCCCCCGGTGGCCAAAGCTACGAGTTGGGAGGGGAGGAGGGGGGGCCTTGACAACCAACATCAGATATCATTAATCAGAATATTTATTTAAACTGCGGGAGGAATCCGATGAGCTACAAAGCTCTTTTATGCACAGATGTCCAGTAAGGGGCACGGGCTAAGAACGTTACAACAACAACAATGACAAAACAAGTATAACCGTAAAAACAACGTTTTTCACTATAAATCCTTTATATGCGTGGCGGCTAGAGTCCTCTCATCCTCTGGCTTGAGATGGCTGCCACCTATGGGTCAGATGATTGTCTGCAGTATTAAGCAATTGGTAATTAAATATAATATTTTTGTCCTAAAAAGTATAAAATTTTGGAATTTTTTTCACGACCATTAATTGTCACGCACAACGAGTCTGTGTGGAAAATGTCAGCTCGATTGGATCACGGAAAGTGGGTTAAAAAACGACCGAAAGATTTGCACGGTCCTAAGCAAGCAAGTGAACTTAATATAAAGGATTTTAAAAAACACGATAGGTGTACAAAGTACAAGACGGATAAACAAATCACCCAGACACAGACACAAATACTACATATTCTTAGCTTTTTTCGGTAAAGTCACGTAGGTAAAAAATTTCAATTTAATAAAAGTAAAATAAAAATTTAAATAAAAATCAACGACGATTTGGGAGGGCAAACAACATAGCTTCCGTCTTCAGGTGGACCGTCACAGCACGATAGCTGTATCACCTTTATTAATTTAAAATTTTTACCTACGTGACTTTACCGAAAAACCCTAAGAATATGAATCCTTGCAGTCACGAAAGCTTCAAATCTACAAATACAACACTCAACCATGCCCCATCCTACCAGGCAAGCCCCCACTGAGGCTGTGAACTTGTTTTTTAGAATGCGACCTGGCCGCCCACAATGATAGCCCGCTCAACAAAGTGGCCCCCGTCCATTCGGACACTTTATAGCAGCAAAATCATCTACAGCGTAAAAAGACAACTTTCTTAGAACGCCGTTTAATAAAGTAAAAAAAAAATATTAAATTTTTAAATTATTTCATTGACCTTAATTTTGAAGCTTTCGTGACGCAGGAATCCATACTCTTTGGTTCTTTCGGTAAGTCACGTAGGTAGTAATAAATAAAAATAAATACATCACGACGTCACTCAGGAAATGAGCCTTGACCTCGGAGGACTTAGAAGAAGGCGATTTGAAGATCTCAGGGACCTCGTTGGAGTGTAAACATGGATCCATTCCTGCAAATATTGTGGGGTTAACCCACTGAGATTTGGTCAGCAGCAGGGTCTTTTCATCCACTTTATACTTGACTGGTAGCCAGTGTAAACACAAGAAAGCAGGTGTGTGATGTGCTCGCGTAATGGTGTGTGCGTACGGACTCTAGCAGCAGCATTCTGAAGAAGCTGTCGTCTACCCAGAACCTTACTTGGAATCCTGAACACGAATACATGCATCAATTCAGTGAAATGTTACAATTTTACCTTGATATTCGATATTATTTCATATTTTGGTAAATATAATGCCTCTAGTGACTGCACAGATCACATGAAACCATTCTAAAACATACAATAATGATCGCACAAATGATGTTGTACATATACCATTAGCGTTAGAATTCGTTTCATTCTATTCAATACATCGTTACTTGCTCAGGGAATGCAGCCGAACAGTTAAATGTCATATAATCACTGTGGTTTCTTGTAGAAAAGCCGCACAGACCCATTCTGCTTGAAGGAAGTGCTGGAGGAGTTGCCACTGCGCACTCTGAAGGATGCACTTGAGAGTATCGGCAAGATACTCACTGAGAGCCTGCTGCGTTGCCCCGCTGAGCAATGGAACCCTGACCCACCGCCAACACGACGACATGGAGACAGAAGCCACGGGATCGGTACTATACATCTAAATTCTGTCCTTTTACCTCTTTCATGGTACATTTTAACGTGAGTCATCGAATGCCTATCAACCAAATATCTCAGTATGATTGTAAACAGAATAATTACAACCCATTGGTGGTCTGCTGAGATCATTAGGCTTCTCTATACTTGCAAGCCTTATTTTATCTTGGACCTGAACCAAGAATCTCAGCTTTGCTGGCTCATTGTTTTGTCAATTTTACTGCAATCAGGCCCATGAGCTACCAGACAATTAAAAATTCTGTATTCGTCTGATTTACCTGTATTACATATACCCAAAACATTTAATTAAATTATAGTTGCTTGTCATATATTCTGAGTACTGTAGATAAAAACACGTTTTAAAGAGTATGAATGATTGTGGTAAGCATGCAAAGACATGAAAAAAATTTCAACTGGTTTATACACGTTCACTAAAAATACTGTGATATATTAACTCTGACAATGGATTGCACTTGTTATTTGATTGTTGATGTTAGGAGTTGTGTGGTTAAAATGTGACACCTGCTCCCATCATTATGTGTTTGCATCCAGGAGTCAACTGTAGCTGTTGTGACGGCTGTAGCCCACAGTGCTATCTGTGGCTGTGAAAACTGTCAGGGCGGAGGTGATAGAAGACATTTTGGAGTCGGCTATCATTCTACATGGTAAAGAGGCAGGGTGACGTCTATGAATAATTGATACAAATTGATAAATTATTGACTATATCTGTTTCCACGACTTCTCAGTTTTTTTATAATTGGAACAGAGTAAAAGTTCGTGAGTATGTATAGTAGGAGAACGAGAACAAAAAGTGTAATAAGTTCTGCTGAAAATCTCATTCAAGATACATAAAGTAGTTATTTGCACATTTCTCCTGACTTGGATAATTTATAACAGTCACTGTTTAGAGCTGCATATACCAATGAACAATATTGCAGTATGTTCATCTCATAAATATCCTGCAAATAACATACTTCTTGATGTTGCACTGGAAATGTTATGCATGCGCACTGGATGATATTGATTCAAGTACTGTACTAGGGTAGATTCCAAAATATTGGCAATAGTTTATTTAATAATTGAGCCTACAAATTATTGTTATGCTGAATCTACAGAGTGGCCCATTAGGTCAAGACTGAATGGGTTATCTTATTTTAACAATTTTCAAACTGACTTCCATTAACATGAATGTACACATGAATTCTCTGTAGAAGTATTTTTGGACTTTTTTTAGATTCACGTGTAATCTTGGACCATTCCTAAATTACGTTTTGTCTAAATTCATTCAGGGTTCTTGGTCGAATTTTGTAAACAACGGGATTGTGGTGAACCCACAGGAAGAATACAAAATATATATGAATAATGATAATAGATAAATATTAACTTAAAGAATAAACTGTTTAAATGTTTAATGCCAGTGCTAAAATAAATGAAATAACCTATTTGTCCAGACTTTTTTGTCACCCTGTATAAAAATGCCTTCCAGGTGGTTACATCAGGCAACAATACAAGATATATATGTTCCTGTGGTGATAATTAGTTCCAATCTACTCTACCGTTTTTCTCACCCTGTTGACAGCCCTGTTGCCACTTTCACCGATGCTTCACCCTAACCTAAGAAACACGGTCATAAACCTGTGCGAGTCTTGGTGGGAGGAGAGACCTACCTGGGAAAGAGGAGCTTGGAAAGAATATGATCCTCACAATTCTGCGGTGCAATTTAATACAGCAGAGCAAAGCCTTGGTATGTAGCAATGCCTTAAATTGCAATTTATAATTTGTTGTTTTTCATGACAGTGACTTTCATTCTTGTGAATTTTTTTTACTGCAATCAGTGTGTTTTCTAAAGATTATTACCTGCGCTGGTTAGGCATTGCCTCACCAACACTTATTTTACCTGGAATAGCACCTTCTACAAACAGAATGAGGGTACCCCTATGGGCTCCCCCTTGTCACCAGTTATAGCCAACATGTTCATGGAAAAGTTTGAATCAGACGCCATCCAGACATCCACCCTGCGTCCTTCCTTGTGGAAGAGGTAGTGGACGACACTTCGTCATCTGGCCACATGGCTCCTCCAGCATTGAACCACTTCTTGGACCACACTCAATTCTAGACACCCATCCATCAGATTCACCATGGAAGTGGAGAAAGACGGTAAACTACCATTCTTGGATATTCTGTTTGAGAGGAGGCCTGACGGATCCTTGGGACATTCTGTCTACAGGAAAGCCACCCACACAGATTCCTACTTGAAACCGGATTCCCACCACCACCCATCTCAAAAGAATTCTCTCATCAAAACGCTATACCACAGAGCCCATGGCATTTCTGACCAACACCACCTGGCCGGTGAATTAAGACATGTACATCGGGCCCTCAGGATGAACGGATACTCTGATCGCACTATCCGCCAAGCTGTTTCTCATAATCAACGATTTTTGGGTTTAGATCGCGTTTATTTATAAATGTGTCGTAACCCTCCACCACCCGACATGGCCAATCAGTAAAAAATGTGTCACGTTGACAAAGACAAATAGTTCACTGCTTTAGCCCACCGGTGTGTTGAAGCAACAACATTCACAATTTGAGTACGACGTTTCGCTGGTAATTACAACCAGCATCATCGGGCAATTCGCCAGAATGGTGAGGCTCCTCCTGTGTCTCCCCGTTCTTATATAGAGCAGCAGCAGGATGACGTCCATCATTAACTCATTAACTCATCAGGGTCAAAGATTCAAGGGGGAGTGATTGTAATTATATACTAGATTAGTAATCAGGCTATTGTTAACGATGCGAGTTGTAGATAGTAATCATTTGGAATGTGTTTTTATTGTGATTATGCTACATTAGTAATCAGGTTAGTGGTTGTTTCCCTTATAAGTAATTGTAATGTATCTTATTTAATAATACGCTTCCAGGCCGCACTAAGCCTGTAGCTGTCTGAGCGATTAAGTATTCCTCTTCCTGTTTCTATCAATTTCAATCGATTCTCTAATTAGCTCGTTGCCAGTAGTAAATAGTTTACACAACACTTCCACGTTGTCAAAATCAATTGAGTGTCCCTGTTGGCATGCCTGTTCGTGCTACTTGCCGACAGTTGTGTTTTGTGATAGTTGAAATATTTCTTCTGGTGTCTTTTAGTCTTACACTAACGTTACGCCCTGTCTGTCCAATATAGCATCTGCCACATACACAATTAATCCGATATACACCTTCTGTTGATAATTTAGGTAATTCGTCTTTAGTGCACGTTACTAGTTGTTGAATTTTGTGTACTGTACCAAATCTTACTGTAATGAGAGAGATTAAACATGTTAAATAAGCACTAAGACAGAATGGCTACAATAATGCTCAAATTAACAGAGCACTAAAAGCCAAATCACGATCGCAAAAGCAACACTGCTGAAAGCGATCAGATTATTAAAAACAATAAAATACCATTTTCTCAGGAGTAACTGATAAAGTTAGCCCGTGTTTTGCAAAAGCAAAACATTACAGTAAGATTTGGTACAGTACACAAAATTCAACAACTAGTAACGTGCACTAAAGACGAATTACCTAAATTATCAACAGAAGGTGTATATCGGATTAATTGGTGTATGTGGCAGATGCTAATTGGACAGACAGTGTCGTAACGTTAGTGTAAGACTAAAAGAACACCAGAGAAATATTAAACTATCACAAACACAACTGTCGGCAGTAGCAGAACATGCATGCCAACAGGGGACACTCAATTGATTTTGACAACGTGGAAGTGTTGTGTAAAACTAGTTACTACTGGCAAAGACTAATTAGAGAATCGATTGAAATTGAGGAGAAACAGAAATAACTTTAATCGCTCAGACAGCTACAGGCTTAGTGCGGCCTGGAAGCGTATTATTAAATAAGATACATTACAATTACTTATAAGGGAAACAACCACTACTGATTACTAATGTAGCATAATCACAATAAAACACATTCCAAATGATTACTAATCTACAACTCGCATCGGAACAATAGCCTGATTACTAATCTAGTATATAATTACAATCACTCCCCCCTTGAATCTTTGCACCTGATGAGTTAATGAGTTAATGTTGACGTCCATCCTGCTGCTGCTCTATATAAGAACGGGAGACACAGGAGAGCCTCACCATTCTGGCGAATTGCCCGATGATGCTGGTTGTAATTACCAGCGAAACGTCGTACTCAAATTGTGAATGTTGTTGCTTCAACACACCGGTGGGCTAAAGCAGTGAACTATTTGTCTTTGTCAACGTGATACATTTTTTACTGATTGGCCGTGTCGGGTGGTGGAGGGTTACGACACATTTATAAATAAACGCGATCTAAACCCAAAAATCGTTGATTATGCTTGTGTGTGTGTGTCTGCCTGTGTGTGTGTCTGCCTGTGTGTGTTGGTTCTGCTGTGTGTGTCTGCCTGTGTGTGTGTGTGTGCCTGTGTGTGTCTGCCTTGTGTGTGTGTCTGCCTGTGTGTGTCTGCTTGTGTGTGTGTCTGTGTAAGTGTGTCTGCGTGTGTGTGTCTGCTTGTGTGTGTCTGCCTGTGTGTGTGTGTGTGTGTGCGTCTGCTTGTGTGTGTGTGTCTGCCTGTGTGTGTGTCTGCCTGGTGTGTGTCTACCTGTGTGTCTGCCTGTGTGTGCCTGTGTGTGTCCTGCTTGTGTGTGTCTGTGTGTGTGTCTGCTTGTGTGTGTCTGTGTGTGTGTCTGCCTGTGTGTCTGCCTGTGTGTGTGTGTCTGCTTGTGTGTGTCTGCGTGTGTGTGTCTGCTTGCGTGTGTGGGTCTGCTTGTGTGTGTGTGTCTGCTTGTTGTGTGTGTCTGCGTGTGTGTGTCTGCTTGTGGTGTCTGTGTGTTGTGTCTGCCTGTGTGTGTCTGCCTGTGTGTGTCTGCCTGTGTGTGTCTGCTTGCCTGTGTGTGTCTGTGTGAGTGTGTCTGCGTGGTGTGTCTGCTTGTGTGTCTCTGTGTGTGTGTCTGCCTGTGTGTCTGCTTGTGTGTGTCTGCCTGTGTGTGTCTGCTTGTGTGTGTGTCTGTGTGTGTGTCTGCCTGTGTGTGTCTGCTTGTGTGTGTGTGTCTGCTTGTGTGTGTGTGTCTCTGTGTGTGTCTGTGTGTGCGCCTCTTTGTGTGTGTCTGCCTGTGTGTCTGTGTGTGTCTGCCTGTGTGTGTCTGCTTGTGTGTGTGTCTGCTTGTATGTGCGCCTCTGCTTGTGTGTGTGTCTGCCTGTGTGTGTCTGCTTGTGTGTGTGTCTGCGTGAGTGTGTCTGTGTGTGTGTCTGCCTGTGTGTATCTGCTTGTGTGTGTGTGTCTGCCTGTGTGTGTCTGCTTGTGTGTGTGTCTGTGTGTGTGTGTCTGCCTGTGTGTGTCTGCGTGTGTGTGTCTGCCTGTGTGTGTCTGCTTGTGTGTGTGTCTGGTGAGTGTGTCTGCCTGTGTGTGTCTGCTTGTGTGTGTGTCTGTGTGAGTGTGTCTGCCTGTGTGTGTCTGCTTGTGTGTGTGTGTGTGCGCCTATGTGTGTGTCTGCTTGTATGTCTGCTTGTGTGTGTATGCTTGTGTGTGTCTGTGTGTGTGTGTCTGCATGTGTGTGCGCCTCTGTGTGTGTCTCTGCGTGTGTGTGTCTGCTTGTGTGTGTGTGTCTGTGTGTGTGTGTCTGCGTGTGTGTCCGTGTGTGTGTCTGCTTGTGTGCAGTCCTCGGCTCGGGTCATGATTCCCGTCGGAGCCCTGACCTCCTCCTTCTCATTGGAGGGTCACCCGGACCTCAAGATCCTTCAGCCCTGGTGGGACGTGTTGTGCGACATGCTCTCTGTGCCCATGTTCATGATCGGCATCTTTGCCGGGATGCTGCAGGTGCTTTGTTCCAACGCACCAGTCCCCACGCACATTCATCAATGTCGCCACCTTGCTATGGATAACATCGCTGAGATGTTGACGACCTCGCCTGGTACGCAGGAGGTCTAGGTTCCATCCCTACCCCTTCTGCATATTGGACTTCGCGTGTGTCTCATCATCACGGTGGCCGGGAGATGTTAACTACCTTGCCGTGGTACGCAGGAGGTCGTGGTTCCAACGTGCGAGCTCACTCATAGCGCTGGCTAGAGAGCACATCTTGGGTCTATGTGGGTTCCATCCCGACCCCTTCTGCATATTTGTACTTCGCGTGTGTCTCATCATCACGGTGGCCGGGAGGATGTTAACTACCTCGCTGGTACGCAGGAGGTCGTGGGTTCCAACTCGACGTGCGAGCTCACGCATAGCGCTGGCTAGAGTAGCACATCTTGGGTCTATGTGGGTTCCATCCCTACCCCTTCTGCATATTTGGACTTCGCGTGTGTCTCATCATCACGGTGGCCCGGGAGATGTTAACTATCTCGCCTGGTACAGAGGGGGTCGTGGCTTCCAACTCGACGTGCGAGCTCACTCATAGCGCTGGCTAGAGAGCACATCTTGGGTCTATATGTGTTATCTCCCCCCGTACACCGGGAATCTCGCAAAGTGAACCTGAGTTAAGGAGACACACGGCGTCACGTCATGGTCACGTGGTACCCACTTGCCCCACCTCCGCCCAGAACATGAACGAGCGCATTCTGTGCGTGCCGGTGCCGAGAGGCTTCGACGTGGATCTGAAGGAGTGGAACGAGACCGTCCTGAGGACGCTCGTGGCCAACCCCAGGGCTCACACGGTGAGGTTCCCCCTCGGGCCGGCTCGGCACCACCGGCAATTGCCCGAGGAATAGTGTAATGTATAGTGTAGTGTAGTGTATAGTGTAGTGTATAGTGTAGTTGTATAGTGTAGTGTATAGTGTATGTATAGTGTAGTGTAATTTATAGTGTAGTGTATAGTGTAGTGTATATTGTAATGTACATTATAGTGTAATGTATAGTGTAGTGTATAGTGTAATGTATAGTGTAGTGTATAGTGTAGTGTATAGTGTAATGTACATTATAGTGTAATGTATAGTGTAGTGTATAGTGTATATATTGTAATGTACATTATAGTGTAATGTATAGTGTAGTGTATAGTGATATGTATAGTGTAATGTATAGTGTAGTGTATAGTGTAGTGTATAGTGTAATGTACATTATAGTGTAATGTATAGTGTAGTGTATAGTGTAGTGTATATTGTAATGTACATTATAGTGTAATGTATAGTGTAGTGTATAGTGTAGTGTATATTGTAATGTACATTATAGTGTAATGTATAGTGTAGTGTATAGTGTAGTGTATATTGTAATGTACATTATAGTGTAATGTATAGTGTAGTGTATATTGTAATGTACATTATAGTGTAGTGTATAGTGTAGTGTAGAGTGTAATATCCTAGTACAGCACACCGGTGTGTTGAAGAGCAAAGCCACAACGTTGACGATCTTGAGTACGGTGCTGTTCCGCCAGTAACTACAAAACCGGCATCATCAGGCCAAAGCCACATTTGAGCCAGCTCTGTCACCGCAAGGGAGGGGGCATGCGACATCACCGCCACGCCAGTTCATTTTGCCCTTCCCACACTCGCCCAGGTTGGCTTCGACCAGTACCAGTACCGGTTGATCAACTAGTTCTGCTACGACAACGCGGTGCTGTGGATCAGCAAGTACTTCCCGCATCTCGTGGTGCTGCACACACTCATCCTGACGGCCACCAGGAACTTCTGGTTCAGGTTCCCGGAGACGAGCTCCAAGATCGAGCACTTTGTGTGCGTGCTGGGTAAGTGCATGGACTCGCAGTGGACCACGCACGCCGTGCACGAAGCCGCACTGGACGGGTTGGCGTCAGCGGCGGCGCTGCAGCCGCCAGCGCCGCCCGCCACAGTGGGGAGCTGCAGGTTAGAAGGGGGCTGACTACGAAGAGACGGCCCACGCCTCCTTCCTGCCTTAGTCATCCCTTGCCCCCTTAAGTAACAAAACTAAAAAAGTTCCCCCTTTTGGGGGAGACCCTGCGTGGGTTTGGGGTAGAGGTTGCAAACGGGTTTTGATTCCTTACCCGTACCCGTACCCGGCCGCACCAGGGTCGCAAATGGGTACCCGTACCCGGCCGGGGACGGGTACCCGTTCCCTACCCGTACCCTACCCGAAATGAGTGACAAACGGTTACTCATCAGTGACTCACGGCCTACCCGTACCCGTACCCGGCCGCACCAGGGTCGCAAACGGCTACCCGGCTACCCGTACCCGACCGGGTACGGGTAGCCGGGTATCGGGTAGGGTACGGGTATCGGGTACCCGGTTGCGACCTCTGTTTTGGGACAGCGAGCCCGTTCACGCATCTTGCTATCCCTCTGCTTTTCATAACCAGTTTGGCTTACGGTTGGCGGTGTGTGGGGAGCGGTGGTGAAGCGGTTAGCGCTACGCTGCGCTATGAACCCGGCGACCCAGGTTCGATTTCCGCTCACGGCCAACACCAGCGACGATTATCTGAAACACGTTCCTTCGGAGTGGGCAGGTAGTAACTTGGTTGGACAGCGCATTCGTGCACGACAGACAAACAATCCCTGGTGGGCAGTGTGGAACCTGTTTCTACCTGTACCAGTTCTGGGCCTCCTCTAGGTCTTCTCAGCCTCAAATGAGTACCTGGTGCGGTGTGTAAACATCGCCACTGGGGAGACAAAGGCGGCCAGGCGTGGTACTGGCCACCCACCCCCTCGTGTACCGTTCCAGCACTTGCCCCTATAGTCTGTTAAGGCTATACGGGGGATCTTGGTGTGCGTGTGTATGTGCGTCACGATGTGGGTGTCTGAGTCTGTATGGGTCTCTGGGTCTCTGTGGGTCTCTGCGGGTCTGTGGGTCTCTATGGGTCTCTACGGGTCTCTGTGAGTCCTGATGGGTCTCTGCGGGTCTCTATGAGTCACTATGGGTCTCTGTGGGTCTTCGTGGATCTCTGTGGGTCTGTGGGTCTCAGAATGTCAATGGGTCTCTGCAGGTCTCTGTGAGTCTCTATGGGTTTCTGTGAGTCTCTAAGGGTTTCTGTGAGACTCTTATGTATCTTTGTGGGTCTCTGTAGGTGTCTACGGGTCTCTACGGTTCTCTGTGAGTCTCTGTGAGTCTCTATGGGTCTCTGTGTGTCTCTATGGGTCTCTATGGGTCTATGTGGGTCTCTACATTTCTCTGTGAGTCTCTGTGAGTCTCGATGGGTCTCTGTGGGTCTCTGTGCGTGTCTGTGGGTCTCTATGGGTCTCTGTGCGTCTGTGCGTCATGACGCGTCGCCAAATGTCCACGCAATCCCACGCGCGCAGCGACCCGAGATCCGACGAACTCCCCGCCGTGGAGAAGCTGCCTTCGGAGTCTCCGCCGCCGCCGGCACCGCCGCGGCCCTCCGTCCGATTCGTCGACCCCGGCGAGGCCGCCACGCCCCCCGACCGGCCCCCCCCGGAGCAGAACGAGGGCCGGCGGACGCCGTCGGATGGTCGTGATGTGGATGGCCTACGCCACCACGATGTGCGTCTACGCGCTCACCTGTGCCCACATCTTCTACTGGGTGGTGACCGGCAGGTGAGATGGGGGGGGGGGGCGGCGGGCTGCCGCGGAGCGGTGGCGTGGCACCGGATCGCCGTGCGGCTCCCTTCTGGCTTTGGTCTGCGGGCTTTTCGGCGATCGTGGAGATGCGGTTAGCGCGGGCGGCGACACCGCTACGTGTATCGTAACGTTTTACCGGTGGCTTCGTGGGAGATCTTCCGCGTTGGGACGAGGGTCGACGGGCGGGCGCTGAGTTCTCTGTGCTGGGGGGGGGGGTGGGGGGGGGGCGCTGACACGGCAGGCTCAAGGAGTACAGCTCGCGGAGGCGCGCCAGGAGACGGGGGTGGAGGACATTCCGGACGTGCGCAACGACTTTGCCTTCCTCCTGCACCTGGTGGACAAGTACGACCCCTGCTACGCGTGCAAGTTCTCTGTCTTCCTGTCCGAGGTGAGGAGAAGCCGCTCGCAGAGCGCCGCACGTTCGACGGAGCCGACCGCGCCGATCGGACAAGGACAACAAACTGTGGGTCTCTGTGTGGTGAGCGTGGTGCTGGCCACCCACCCCCCTCGTGTGCCGCCCTTCTGGCCTGCATAGAGGTGCTCGCTAACGGCACTTGCCCCAACAGTCCGTCGAGGCTATACGGGGGATGTTGAGTCTTTGGGTCTCTGTCTGAGTCTATGGGCCGTGTTAGTCTATGTGCAAGTTATGTACTGACTAATTATAAGGGGGCCGTATCGGTGGTGAATGTCAAAGTCTGAGCGAGACCTCAAGCCGCATCATCTCTACATAACAAAAAGGCTCAGTCCCTTTTACACGCACCTTTACATCATCCGCACCTAGTTTACACAACAAAGGCTCATTCCTAACAGCGTGCTTCAGCCGCACCGAACCTCACAAAAACAATATCCAGGGCCTACCTTGGCTCCTCCCACCTTCAACCAGTATATATACAAATACTGTGTTCTTGGAATTTCTCTCACCTGATACAGCTGTCGTGGCTGTGACGGTTCCACCTGAAGACGGAAGCTTGTGTTGCCTCCAAAACGTCGTGATTTTTATTTTATTTTAATTTTACTTTTATTAATTTTAATTTTTTACCTACGTGACTTTACCGAAAAAACCTAAGAATATGAGACCTCAAGCTCCGGGAACCTGCTTGAAGATTCTGGAAGGGGGCGTGGGCCACACCGGGGTGTATACAGTGATACCTCGGTTCACGAACGCTTCGGTTCACGAACAACTCGGTTCACGACCAGAAAATTTCATAAAAATATGCTTCGGTTCACGAACTCCGCTTCGGTTCACGAACAGGAGCCGCGCCCATTTTTATGCTAATTCCAGGCTGTCACATGGTCGTGATTTATTGTAACGGGAGCGAGCAATGCAAAATCAGCCGAGGGAGTACCCGCCTCCTCCTCCTCGGGGGCTCGCGACACGTGGTGCGCCCGCCTATTCTGCCCTTCACGCGCAGGCTACACGCGCGCGCGCACGCACCGCGCGCGGACGCACGCACGCGCGCGCGCACACACGCGCGCGCGGACGCACGCACGCGCACGCGCATGCACGCTGCGCGCACCCCGGAATGAGCGGAGAGGCACACATGCGCCAGCTGTGACAGTCATCCCTCTTCACCTAAAAATAAAAAAACCCCCGAGCGATGGAGAGAGGAAACCCCTGAAGGAGATCCCCCTGATGTCCTTATGGAGGGGGACTCTCCCTCCAAACAATAACCGCCTCCCACCCGCCTCCCACCTGCCTTCCTCCATGCCAGAGGTCATCTCAAGCAAGGTTAGTGTTCTCTCTTTATACATTACTATACTGTACAGTACTACAGTAATGTGTATTGTCATTTGTTTCATATTTTTGTGCTTCAAAAACCAAAAAAAAGGTCAGAACGGATTAACCAAATTTACATTGAACCCTATGGGAAAATGTGCCTCGGTTCACGACCAATTCGGTTCACGACCAGAGTCATTTCACGAATTAAGTTCGTGAACCGAGGTATCACTGTATAAGGGGGACCGAACCAGAGAAGGTTCGCTGCTGTTGCGGGTCCTGGGTCCTGGCTGCGTCGCCGCTCGCCGTCATCTCTCTTCGTCGTGGCCGATCTCCTGCAGGGCGCTCACCGTCGCTGTCGCTGCGCTAGTCAAATAACCGTGCAGTTGGACGCCGGCGATGGGGTTGTGTAGAAGGGTCGGCTATGTGTAGCTACGTGGAGACGCTGATATTTCTGCATCGTCCAGTGTGAGAATAAATAAGAAGGCCTCTACACGATGTGTCTCGGAAGTCGCTCACTACATGCGTATAATGGGTTCCGGAGACACTTGTAGAGGTAACTTCTTTATTACAATACAACACTCCAACAGTCCTGATACTCTGTTACAGCCTAGATACACAGCCTAGGTACACAGCCTAGATACACTACTCTGGCTACGCTCTGGGGTCCTCCGGCTACAACTACCCTAGGGGAGGCTATCTGACCCGACCGAGCCAAGGTGCGGGTCTGGACTCTGGCTTCCTCGGAACTCGCCCTTACAAGGACGTAGAGCCGGGAGTCCCAGAGTCCCACCACTGGCCCGCACAGCGTCCCGGCCCTTACAAGGAGAAGCGGGACGAGGGGGTCCAGGGTCCTAACTGGCTGGCTGGCGGGTCTCGGGTCTTGAGCTGCGACTGGCCTTGATCGGCCAGGGAGCTGCCCTTTTATGACTCGTCCCCAGCGAGGGGTGGGGCTGTGTGCGCCCCCAGATATCCCACAGAGCACACACAGCCCCCCCGTTGGTGGCGCCAAAGGGCTTAGCTGTCTGGGGTGCCTGGGATCCCAGCGCCTGGCGCCAAGGGCTTATTTGCCTAGGATCCCAGAGCCCCCAGCAGCCCCTCCCCTCTTATGTCACTACATATATAAGGGGGACCGAACCAGAGAAGGTTCGCTGCTGTTGCGGGTCTTGGGTCCTGGCTGCGTCGCCGCTCGCCGTCATCTCTCTTCGTCGTGGCCGATCTCCTGCAGGGCTCTCACCGTCGCTGTCGCTGCGCTAGTCAAATAACCGTGCAGTTGGACGCCGACGATGGGGTTGTGTAGAAGGGTAGGCTATGTGTAGCTACGTGGAGACGTTGATATTTCTGCATCGTCCAGTGTGAGAATAAATAAGAAGGCCTCTACACGATGTGTCTCGGAAGTCGCTCACTACATGCGTATAACGTCTTTACCGTCATGGGCCCTCGCTGCTGAAACAAATCAAATCCATCCGCGCTTGGCTGCTGGTGCTGTTCCTGCTGCTGCTGTTGCTGCTGCTGCTGCTGCTGCTCCAGGTGAGTGAAAATAAGCTGAGGCAGGTGAACGTGGACCAAGCGTGGACCCTGTCGCATCTGACGGGGCTGCTGGCGATCAATGCGCAGGGCGAAAGCGAGCTGCATCTCTCCAAGCTGGCAGCGGTGCCAGTGGACACATACCAGCTCACTCAGATACAGGTGCCCGTGGACACAGCCACTCACCCACCCATCCACCCACCAACTCACACAGCCACTCACCCACCTACTCACTCACCCTCATACCCACTGACCCACACACCCACTCACCCACCAGTGGACACATACCGGCTCACTCAGATACAGGTGCCCGTGGACACAGCCACTCACCCACCCATCCACCCACCAACTCACACAGCCACTCACCCACCTACTCACTCACCCTCATACCCACTGACCCACACACCCACTCACCCACCAGTGGACACATACTGGCTCACTCAGATACAGGTGCCCGTGGACACAGCCACTCACCCACCCATCCACCCACCAACTCACACAGCCACTCACCCACCTACTCACTCACCATCATACCCACTGACCCACACACCCACTCACCCACCAGTGGACACATACCGGCTCACTCAGATACAGGTGCCCGTGGACACAGCCACTCACCCACCCATCCACCCACCAACTCACACAGCCACTCACCCACCTACTCACTCACCCTCATACCCACTGACCCACACACCCACTTACCCACCAACTCACCCGCACACCCACTCACCCACCAATTCACCCACCCACTCACCCAGACACCCACTTACCCACCAACTCACCCGCACACCCACCCAACCACTCGCGCACACACACACTCACTCACTGACCAACCCACTCACTCACCAACCCACCCACCCACACACCCATGCACCCACCAACTCACACAGCCACTCAGCCACTAACTCACTCACCCACTGACCCACACACCCACTCGCCCACCAACTCACTCACCCTCACACCCACTGACTCACGCACCCACGCACCCACCAACTCACTCACCCACTGACCCACACACCCACTCACCCACCAACTCACTCACCCCCTCACCCACCCACCCACTCACCCACCAACCCACTCACCCTCATACCCACTGACCCACACACCCACTCGCCCACCAACCTCACTCACCCACTGACCCACACACCCCACTCACCCACCAACTCACTCACCCTCATACCCACTGACCCACACACCCACTCACCTACCAACTCACTCACCCACTGACCCACACACCCACCAACTCACTCACCCTCATACCCACTGCCCCACACACCCACTCGCCCACCAACTCACTCATCCACTGACCCACACACCCACTCACCCACCAACTCACTCACCCACTGACCCACACACCCACTCACCCACCAACTCACTCACCCTCATACCCACTGACCCACACACCCACTCGCCACCAACTCACTCACCCACTGACCCACACACCCACTCACCCACCAACTCACTCACCCTCATACCCACTGACCCACACACCCACTCACCTACCAACTCACTCACCCACTGACCCACACACCCACCAACTCACTCACCCTCATACCCACTGACCCACACACCCACTCACCCACCAACTCACTCATCCACTGACCCACACACCCACTCACCCACCAACTCACTCACCCACTGACCCACACACCCACTCACCCACCAACTCACTCACCCTCATACCCACTGACCCACACACCCACTCGCCCACCAACTCACTCACCCACTGACCCACACACCCACTCACCCACCAACTCACTCACCCTCATATCCACTGACCCACACACCCACTCACCTACCAACTCACTCACCCACTGACCCACACACCCACCAACTCACTCACCCTCATACCCACTGACCCATACACCCACTCACCTACCAACTCACTCACCCACTGACCCACACACCCACCAACTCACTCACCCTCATACCCACTGACCCACACACCCACTCACCCACCCACTCACCCTCGTACCCACTGACCCACACACCCACTCGCCCACCAACTCACTCACCCTCATACCCACTGACCCACACACCCACTCACCCACCCACTCACTCACCCTCATACCCACTGACCCACACACCCACTCACGCACCAACTCACTCACCCACTGACCCACACACCCACCAACTCACTCACCCTCATACCCACTGACCCACACACCCACTCACCTACCAACTCATTCACCCACTGACCCACACACCCACCAACTCACTCACCCTCATACCCACTGACCCACACACCCACTCACCCACCCACTCACCCTCGTACCCACTGACCCACACACCCACTCGCCCACCAACTCACTCACCCTCATACCCACTGACCCACACACCCACTCGCCCACCAACTCACTCACGCACTGACCCACACACCCACTCACCCACCCACTCACCCTCGTACCCACTGACCCACACACCCACTCGCCCACCAACTCACTCACCCACTGACCCACACACCCACTCGCCCACCAGTGGACACATACCGGCTCACTCAGATACAGGTGCCCGTGGACACAGCCACTCACCCACCCATCCACCCACCAACTCACACAGCCACTCACCCACCTACTCACTCACCCTCATACCCACTGACCCACACACCCACTTACCCACCAACTCACCCGCACACCCACTCACCCACCAATTCACCCACCCACTCACCCAGACACCCACTTACCCACCAACTCACCCGCACACCCACCCAACCACTCGCGCACACACACACTCACTCACTGACCAACCCACTCACTCACCAACCCACCCACCCACACACCCATGCACCCACCAACTCACACAGCCACTCAGCCACTAACTCACTCACCCACTGACCCACACACCCACTCGCCCACCAACTCACTCACCCTCATACCCACTGACCCACACACCCACTCACCCACCAACTCACTCACCCACTGACCCACACACCCACTCACCCACCAACTCACTCACCCACTGACCCACACACCCACTCACCCACCAACTCACTCACCCTCATACCCACTAACCCACACACCCACTCGCCCACCAACTCACTCACCCACTGACCCACACACCCACTCACCCACCAACTCACTCACCCTCATACCCACTGACCCACACACCCACTCACCTACCAACTCACTCACCCACTGACCCACACACCCACCAACTCACTCACCCTCATACCCACTGACCCACACACCCACTCACCCACCAACTCACTCATCCACTGACCCACACACCCACTCACCCACCAACTCACTCACCCACTGACCCACACACCCACTCACCCACCAACTCACTCACCCTCATACCCACTGACCCACACACCCACTCGCCCACCAACTCACTCACCCACTGACCCACACACCCACTCACCCACCAACTCACTCACCCTCATACCCACTGACCCACACACCCACTCACCCACCCACTCACTCACCCTCATACCCACTGACCCACACACCCACTCACGCACCAACTCACTCACCCACTGACCCACACACCCACCAACTCACTCACCCTCATACCCACTGACCCACACACCCACTCACCTACCAACTCATTCACCCACTGACCCACACACCCACCAACTCACTCACCCTCATACCCACTGACCCACACACCCACTCACCCACCCACTCACCCTCGTACCCACTGACCCACACACCCACTCGCCCACCAACTCACTCACCCTCATACCCACTGACCCACCACACCCACTCGCCCACCAACTCACTCATGCACTGACCCACACACCCACTCACCCACCCACTCACCCTCGTACCCACTGACCCACACACCCACTCGCCCACCAACTCACTCACCCACTGACCCACACACCCACTCGCCCACCAACTCACTCACCCTCGTACCCACTGACCCACACACCCACTCACCCACCCACCCACTCACCCTCATACCCACTGACCCACACACCCACTCACCCACCAACTCACTCACCCTCATACCCACTGACCCACACACCCACTCGCCCACCAACTCACTCACCCTCATACCCACTGACCCACACACCCACTCGCCCACCAACTCACTCACCCTCATACCCACTGACCCACACACCCACTCACCCACCCACTCACTCACCCTCATACCCACTGACCCACACACCCACTCATGCACCAACTCACTCACCCACTGACCCACACACCCACCAACTCACTCACCCTCATACCCACTGACCCACACACCCACTCACCTACCAACTCATTCACCCACTGACCCACACACCAACCAACTCACTCACCCTCATACCCACTGACCCACACACCCACTCACCCACCCACTCACCCTCGTACCCACTGACCCACACACCCACTCGCCCACCAACTCACTCACCCTCATACCCACTGACCCACACACCCACTCGCCCACCAACTCACTCACGCACTGACCCACACACCCACTCACCCACCCACTCACCCTCGTACCCACTGACCCACACACCCACTCGCCCACCAACTCACTCACCCACTGACCCACACACCCACTCGCCCACCAGTGGACACATACCGGCTCACTCAGATACAGGTGCCCGTGGACACAGCCACTCACCCACCCATCCACCCACCAACTCACACAGCCACTCACCCACCTACTCACTCACCCTCATACCCACTGACCCACACACCCACTTACCCACCAACTCACCCGCACACCCACTAACCCACCAATTCACCCACCCACTCACCCAGACACCCACTTACCCACCAACTCACCCGCACACCCACCCAACCACTCGCGCACACACACACTCACTCACTGACCAACCCACTCACTCACCAACCCACCCACCCACACACCCATGCACCCACCAACTCACACAGCCACTCAGCCACTAACTCACTCACCCACTGACCCACACACCCACTCGCCCACCAACTCACTCACCCTCATACCCACTGACTCACACACCCACTCACCCACCAACTCACTCACCCACTGACCCACACACCCACTCACCCACCAACTCACTCACCCACTGACCCACACACCCACTCACCCACCAACGCACTCACCCTCATACCCACTGACCCACACACCCACTCGCCCACCAACTCACTCACCCACTGACCCACACACCCACTCACCCACCAACTCACTCACCCTCATACCCACTGACCCACACCCCACTCACCTACCAACTCACTCCCCACTGACCCACACACCCACTCACCCACCAACTCACTCACCCACTGACCCACACACCCACTCACCCCCCAACTCACTCACCCTCATACCCCACTGACCCACACCACACCACTCGCCCACCAACTCACTCACCCACTGACCCACACCCCACTCACCCACCAACTCACTCACCCTCATACCCACTGACCCACACACCCACTCACCTACAACTCGCTCACCCACTGACCCACACACCCACCAACTCACTCACCCTCATACCCACTGACCCATACACCCACTCACCTACCAACTCACTCACCCACTGACCCACACACACCCACCAACTCACTCACCCTCATACCCACTGACCCACACACCCACTCACCCACCCCACTCACTCACCCTCATACCCACTGACCCACACACCCACTCACGCACCAACTCACTCACCCACTGACCCACACACCCACCAACTCACTCACCCTCGTACCCACTGACCCACACACCCACTCGCCCACCAACTCACTCACCCACTGACCCACACACCCACTCGCCCACCAGTGGACACATACCGGCTCACTCAGATACAGGTGCCCGTGGACACAGCCACTCACCCACCCATCCACCCACCAACTCACACAGCCACTCACCCACCTACTCACTCACCCTCATACCCACTGACCCACACACCCACTTACCCACCAACTCACCCGCACACCCACTCACCCACCAATTCACCCACCCACTCACCCAGACACCCACTTACCCACCAACTCACCCGCACACCCACCCAACCACTCGCGCACACACACACTCACTCACTGACCAACCCACTCACTCACCAACTCACCCACCCACACACCCATGCACCCACCAACTCACACAGCCACTCAGCCACTAACTCACTCACCCACTGACCCACACACCCACTCGCCCACCAACTCACTCACCCTCATACCCACTGACCCACACACCCACTCACCCACCAACTCACTCACCCACTGACCCACACACCCACTCACCCACCAACTCACTCACCCACTGACCACACACCCACTCACCCACCAACTCACTCACCCTCATACCCACTGACCCACACACCCACTCGCCCACCAACTCACTCACCCACTGACCCACACACCCACTCACCCACCAACTCACTCACCCTCATACCCACTGACCCACACACCCACTCACCTACCAACTCACTCACCCACTGACCCACACACCCACCAACTCACTCACCCTCATACCCACTGACCCACACACCCACTCACCCACCAACTCACTCATCCACTGACCCACACACCCACTCACCCACCAACTCACTCACCCACTGACCCACACACCCACTCACCCACCAACTCACTCACCCTCATACCCACTGACCCACACACCCACTCGCCCACCAACTCACTCACCCACTGACCCACACACCCACACACCCACCAACTCACTCACCCTCATACCCACTGACCCATACACCCACTCACCTACCAACTCACTCACCCACTGACCCACACACCCACCAACTCACTCACCCTCGTACCCACTGACCCACACACCCACTCGCCCACCAACTCACTCACCCTCATACCCACTGACCCACACACCCACTCACCCACCCACTCACTCACCCTCATACCCACTGACCCACACACCCACTCACGCACCAACTCACTCACCCACTGACCCACACACCCACCAACTCACTCACCCTCATACCCACTGACCCACACACCCACTCACCTACCAACTCATTCACCCACTGACCCACACACCCACCAACTCACTCACCCTCATACCCACTGACCCACACACCCACTCACCCTCGTACCCACTGACCCACACACCCACTCGCCCACCAACTCACTCACCCTCATACCCACTGACCCACACACCCACTCGCCCACCAACTCACTCACGCACTGACCCACACACCCACTCACCCACCCACTCACCCTCGTACCCACTGACCCACACACCCACTCGCCCACCAACTCACTCACCCACTGACCCACACACCCACTCGCCCACCAACTCACTCACCCTCGTACCCACTGACCCACACACCCACTCACCCACCCACCCACTCACCCTCATACCCACTGACCCACACACCCACTCACCCACCAACTCACTCACCCTCATACCCACTGACCCACACACCCACTCGCCCACCAACTCACTCACCCTCATACCCACTGACCCACACACCCACTCACTCACCAACTCACTCACCCTCATACCCACTGACCCACACACCCACTCGCCCACCAACTCACTCACCCACTGACCCACACACCGACTCGCCCACCAACTCACTCACCCTCGTACCCACTGACCCACACACCCACTCGCCCACCCACCCACTCACCCTCATACCCACTGACCCACACACCCACTCGCCCACCAACTCACTCACCCTCATACCCACTGACCCACACACCCACTCGCCCACCAACTCACTCACCCACTGACCCACACACCGACTCGCCCACCAACTCACTCACCCTCGTACCCACTGACCCACACACCCACTCGCCCACCCACCCACTCACCCTCATACCCACTGACCCACACACCCACTCACCCACCAACTCACTCACCCTCATACCCACTGACCCACACACCCACTCGCCCACCAACTCACTCACCCTCATACCCACTGACCCATACACCCACTCGCCCACCAACTCACTCACCCTCATACCCACTGACCCACACACCCACTCGCCCACCAACTCACTCACCCACTGACCCACACACCGACTCGCCCACCAACTCACTCACCCTCGTACCCAATCCCCCACCGAAGGTGCTGACGCTGGACTCGATGCACGGGGTGACGCTGGGGGCGGCGGTGGTGCAGATGGTGAATCTGCACAAGCTGCGGCTGCTGAACTGCACCGTGGGCGTCGACAATCGCGCACTCGCCTTCCTCAGCGAGGAGCTGCACCAGCTGGAGGTGCGTGGGTGGACGGACGGGCGGGCGGGCGCGAGGGTGGGTGGGTGGCTCGGTCTGAGCGGTCCATTCGGCTCCACTGATCCCGGCCGTGACATCGCCAAAAACTCACCTCCCCCACCAAATGTATGAGTCACAATGTCGGGGACCGACATTCACCGTGCGCCCCCCCCCCCCCCTCCGGTCCAGCGCCCGCTCGCAGGTGAAGTTTGCAATCAAGGCGGAGGTCCCGGGCTGGCTGCGTGAAATGCGCCACCTGGAGGAGCTGTCCCTGGAGGGGCCCCTGACGCCGGCGCTCCTCAAGCCGCTGGGCGACCTCAGGCGCCTGCAGGGCCTGCGCCTGACCACCAGCGTCGCCCGCCTCCCGCCCGGCCTGGCCTCCGGCGCCGCCGGCGGCCTGCGCTCGTTCGCCCTCGACAACGGCGGCGCGCGCCTCGAGTCGCTGGCGCCCCTGAGCAAGCTGTGCGGCTTGGAGACGCTGCGGCTGACGCGCTGCGGCCTGGAGCCCGCCGAGCTCGCGCGGCCCCTGCTGGCGCTGGGACGCCTCAGCGAACTCGACCTCTCCCGCAACGGCCTCCGCTCGCCGGGAGACGGCGACGACGACGCGGCGATGTTGCCGGCGGCCGCCTGCAAGCGCCTCGCCATCCTGCGTCTCTCGGACAACGCCCTCGCGAGCGTCCCGCGCTTGGCGGCCGCGGCGGCGCTGCGCTCGCTCTTCCTCGACGGGAACCTCATCGGGGGCGAGCTGCCCGCCGGGCTGTTCCGCCTGCACGGCCTGCAGGTGCTAGACCTGAGCCGCAACGCCATCGTCACCCTGCCGCCCGAGGTGCGCCAGCTGACTCGGCTGAGCACCCTCCGCCTGTCGGGCAACGCCCTGCAGAGTCTGCCCGACGAGTTGTTCGGCTGCGAGGGGCTGCGGACGCTGGTGCTCGCCAACAACGAGCTGCGCGAGTTGAGCGGCCTGGTGGGGAGGCTGTCGAGGCTGCGCCGCTTGGAGCTGGCCGGGAACCGGCTGACGGAGCTGCCGGCCGAGCTGGGGGAGTGCGCGGAGCTGAGGCGCGGGGGGCTGCTGGTGGAGGCGGAGCTGTTCGAGTCGCTGCCGGCGCAGGTGAAGGAGGCGATGCGGGGCGAGCACAGCGGCGCGGCGACGCAGAGCCCCCCTGGGAGCCGGGAGAGAAGCACAAGGAACTGAGAGAGAAACCCAAGAAAGTGAGAACCCCCAAGACACCGAGAGACTTTCACCGGTAATTACAACCGGCATTGGCAACTCCAGCTATACAGCAGTAGGCAGCGTCAGGGTCGGGGTCGAAGCCACGGCCTCCTGTATAACAGGTGAGGTAGTTAACATCTGAATCAACAAGGCCTGTATAACAGGTGAGGTAGTTAACATCTCAATTACCAAGGCCTGTATAACAGGTGAGGTAGTTAACATCTGAATTAACAAGGCCTGTATAACAGGTGAGGTAGTCAACATCTGAATTACCAAGGCCTGTGTAACAGGTGAGGTAGTCAACATCTGAATTACCAAGGCCTGTGTAACAGGTGAGGTAGTCAACATCTGAATTACCAAGGCTGTATAACAGGTGAGGTAGTTAACATCTCAATTACTAAGGCGTGGACACCAATGAAGGTGCAGACGATCACCAGACTGAGTTTCACGTGAAGTAGCTTGCCTGATAACAGTGAGTGGAGTTAGTACGATTAGGGGTTGACAGGTCTGGGTGTAGACACTGATAAGGGGTCTAACACCTAAATAAATAAAAACTTGTATTAGGAGAAGCCACCGTTGGACAATTTGGACCCCCGTTTTTGTTTGTTTTTCCCCGTTGGCTCCAAGCACTTGATCATAGCCCCCAGCTTTTAAGGGCGGTCCGTGAATCGCCACTTCTCACCCCTTTCGCCGCGATGCCCGAGAGCGTGAATGCAAACGGTAAAACGTTTCCCCGTCTTGACCGGGCCGTCTTTGTTTCTTACGTCCCGTTGATTGCGTTGCCTCGGGCGGTCTGTTTGTCCCTCCTTGAAGAGACACACGCGCGGCCAAAGGAGATGCTGCTTGTACACATTGTCCCAGGGCTGGAAACCCAGGATCTCGGATGTCTCCATCTTAACCATTGTGAATCCCCCGAGAGACACGGCCATTATGAATCCACTGAGAGAGAGACTGCCTTTGTGAACCCTCTGAGAGACACGGCCATTATGAATCCACTGTGTGTGTCAGTGTGTGTCAGAGTTGTGGGGAGCGGTGGTGTAGCGGTTATCGCTACGCTGCGCTACGAACCCGGCGACCCGGGTTCAATTCCCACTCACTGCTAATACCAGTGACGATTATCTGAACCGGTCCTGGGCCTCCCCTAAGTCGACTCGGCCTCAAATAAGTACCTGGTGCGATGTGTGAACATCGCCACTGGGGAGACAAAGGCGGTCGGACGTGGTGTTGGCCGCACACCCCCTCGTGTACCGTTCCAGCCTTTATAGGTTTTGCTGCTACTCGCTAACAGCGCTTGCCCCTACAGTCTGTCAGGGTCGTTTGTCAGCCCACGAACCCATAATGAAGGGGGCCATTTTGGGTTCGAACGCATAACCCAGGAAATAACCTTGATGGATTGGTATAGTGAAAACCTACTTGGTAAACGAAGGGGCCGTCCATAAATGACGTCACGCACCTGGGGGGGGGTCAGACATTTGTGACTATGTGTGACAAGGGGGGGGGGGTTGAGAAATGTGACGTCACATCCAAATGCGCAACTTTGAATTAATATAGACGACACGTTCTACTGAATTAAATAGACTTTTTAATAAATGTTTTCTCCTACGACATCAGAGTGCAGCGCCACATTAAATACGCACTGCAATGACAACACTGGTCAACACACTTTTTCTGGCATGAGGTATTCCAACGGTTTTAATGTAATTGTGGGGTGCTGCTGATTCCAAATCTGGCATCAGTTTTTGTCTATCACGTCAGGTTTTTGAGATATCAAAGATTGCATTTTCAATAAAAACTGCGGAAGAAAAATATTAAATAAATGTGGATATCTACATAAAATGATATTATAAACGCACTATCCTAAAAATACAGCACCATACACCATATTTTAACACTAAAGCAGTCACTGACTCGCAACAACTTGCAATCATAAGTGACGGAGTTAATTTCGGGTAAAATCAATGAAAATGGGGTATGCCGATAGCATAAAAATTAGATGTGATAGAGCAAATCTGAGATCAGATTTGGAATCAGCACCCTGAAATTAGTCTAGAACAGCTGCAAAGTCCAGGCCAGAATTTTAGTTTTTTTGTTGTTGACCAGTGCAATAGAAGACAGATCATATTCTTAGGTTTTTTCCGGTAAAGTCACGTAGGTAAAAAATTAAAATTAATAAAAGTAAAATAAAATAAAAGCTTGTGTTGCCTCCGAAACGTCGTGATTTTTATTTTATTTTGCAGAGGCGGCACGGGGGATCTGTCTTCTAGATTTGAAGCATTCGTGACTGCAAGGATTCATATTCTTAGGTTTTTTCGGTAAAGTCACGTAGGTAAAAAAATTAAATTAATAAAAGTAAAATAAAATAAAAATCACGACGTTTCGGAGGCAACACAAGCTTTTATTTTATTTTTATTAATTTTAATTTTTTACCTACGTGACTTTACCGGAAAAAACCTAAGAATATGAATCCTTGCAGTCACGAAAGCTTCAAATCTAGAAGAAGACAGATCCCCCGTGCCGCCTCTGCAGACTCTAAGGGCAAGTGCCTTGAGCCCTTTTGAAGGGCGGCACTGTGGCACGCGGGGGCGCGGTGTGCCCACAACCACTCCCGGCCGCCTTTGTCTCTCCCACTGCTGATGGTGACTGCCACTGCACCACATGCTCTCTTGAGTGTGCGGGTTGAGAAGCGGGTGAATGTGCGGTTGAATGATTGAGTGTGCGGTTGAGTGAGCGGATGAGCGGGTGAGCGTGCGGGTGAGCGGATGAGTGAGCGGATGAGGAGTGGGTGAGTGTGTGGGTGAGCGGATGAGTGGGTGAGTGTGCGGGTGAGCGGGTGAGTGAGCGGATGAGGAGTGGGTGAGTGTGCGGGTGAGCGGATGAGGAGTGGGTGAGTGTGCGGGTGAGCGGATGAGTGAGCGGATGAGGAGTGGGTGAGTGTGTGGGTGAGCGGATGAGTGGGTGAGTGTGCGGGTGAGCGGGTGAGTGAGCGGATGAGGAGTGAGTGTGCGGGTGAGCGGATGAGTGAGCGGATGAGTGAGTGGGTGAGCGTGCGGGTGAGTGGATGAGGAGTGGGTGAGGAGTGGGTGAGCGTGCGGGTGAGCGGATGAGTGGGTGAGCGTGCGGGTGAGTGGATGAGTGAGCGGATGAGGAGTGGGTGAGCGTGCGGGTGAGTGGATGAGGAGTGGGTGAGCGTGCGGGTGAGTGGATGAGTGGGTGAGCGTGCGGGTGAGCGGATGAGTGAGCGGATGAGTGAGCGGATGAGGAGTGGGTGAGCGTGCGGGTGAGTGGATGAGTGGGTGAGCGTGCGGGTGAGCGGATGAGTGGGTGAGTGTGCGGGTAAGCGGAAGAGTGAGCGGATGAGGAGTGGGTGAGCGTGCGGGTGAGTGGATGAGTGGGTGAGCGTGCGGGTGAGCGGATGAGTGGGTGAGTGTGCGGGTGAGCGGATGAGTGAGCGGGTGAGAAGTGGGTGAGTGTGCGGGTGAGCGGATGAGTGAGCGGGTGAGAAGTGGGTGAGTGTGCGGGTGAGCGGATGAGTGAGCGGATGAGGAGTGGGTGAGCGTGCGGGTGAGCGGATGAGTGAGCGGATGATTGAGCGGGTGAGCGGATGAGGAGCGGGTGAGCGGATGAGTGAGTGAGCGTGTGGTGAGTGTGACTGAGACCCACTCAGTGAGTCTCTGAGACTCACTCTGAGATTCACTCAGAGACTCAGACTCACTCAGAGACTCAGAGACGCATCCAAAGACCCACAGACGACCACAATCGATTCCCATGTTGTCCCAATGGGATTCGATTCCATCCACTCTAATCACTAGCAAGATCGATTCCCATGTTATCCCAATGGGATTCGATTCCATCCACTCTAATCACTAGCAAGATCGATTCCCATGTTATCCCCATGGGATTCGATTTCATCAACAAATCACCACAGTAGATTCCCATGTTGTCGAAAAGGTATTCGATTCCATTATACTACCGTACTCGCTACCACTGGATTCCAATGCAATTCCAATCGGAATTGATTGACTTCGTCCAATTCTCTGCAAGAATCAATTCTCAACGTCCCAATCGATTTTCTCTCCACGTCACTCGGGAAGCTACAACACGTGGGTCTGTGTGGTCGTTCATGACGATGCACAAACTCTGCACACTTGGCCTACTCTTCCACTTCGTGCTGCCTCTCCACCACCACCTCGTCACATGTAACCACGGTGAGCCGAACCGGTCGATAAATCGGGTACCAGGTTGACTGGGGAGCGGTGGCGCAGTGGTTAGGTCACTGTGTGTGGATGCTCATGCTGCTGTGGAGTGGCTCATGCAGCCAGCTATGGCTGCAAAGTTTTGGTAGTACGTGTTGTTTATGCTATTGTGAAAATTCCGTCACAGTTCCTATGATTGCTTTTTCATTGCTTTCATGGCTTTATTTTGGTGATTTCGAAAAGTGTATTGGTTTAGCCATGTTTGTTTGTTGTAGTACAGAGTTAGACTGATGGCCTTAATCTAAGTTGTCTTGTGGTTGTTGTTTGACTTGCATCCTACTGGGATGTTTGCACACAGCGTTGGGGTACTGTGATTTTTTTCTTGCAATATTTTGCTGTCTTTTCTTGGATTTTCTGTTTGCACTTAGTCACATAGTCACTTTAAGATGTTTTCTTGTTCATGTTTTTTTGTTGTTGCGGTTGCACCCGATTCAAGAGCCGAATGGCTCACAGGGCTACACCTAATACATGAACTTGAAATAAATTAACTTGAACTGTGTGTGGAGTGGTTACAAATACAGGTAAGTCCCCGGCTTACGATGATCCGATATCGATATGGCAAAATGGTTAAATGTTTTACATTTCGCGTTACTGAACGCATCTCCCGCCTTGTGTGGCAATGCCTCTCACTCTCGGCAGCGGTAGACGGAGTTCAGTTGTCTCTGTGTTTGTGTGTTTCATGAATCTTGGTGAGTACAGTAGAATATGATACGTTATGATACGTTCAATGCATGTATACACTACACTATACACTACACTATATACTACATTACACTATACACTACATTATACACTACTATACACTATACACGACACTATACACTACATGATTACTATACACTACTATAAACTACACTATTACACTACACTATACACTACTATACACGACACTATACACTACTATACACTACACTATACACTACACTATACGCTACTACACTATACACTACACTATACACTACACTATACACTACACTATACACTACACTATGATACGTAGCTTTAGCGATTTCATTTTAGGGTTACCACGATACGTTAAGATACGTTCAATGAATGTTAGAAGTTTTTATAGCAGATAGGATTGTTTCCTGCAAAAACTTTCTATGAAATTGCAGTTCATATAGGTAGACTAAGAATTTAGCTTGTTTTTTTACTTTACATTTTACCGTACAATACAGTATTGTAAGTAATAAGCACACACAGTATATAGTTTATACAGTACGCTACTGTAAATTGCTCTGTTTTGCTAAATTATCACCGTTCTTCGATGGGGTCGTCGTAACACATCTCCATCGTAAGTCGGGGACTGTCTGTACATGCTGTAGTGAGAGTCGTAAGTCGGGGACTGCATGTACATATTGAAGTGGGAGTCGTAAGTCGGGGACTGTCTGTACATGTCGCTGTAGTTAAGAGTCGTAAGTCGGGGACTATGTTCATGCTGTAGTTAAGAGTCGTAAGTCGGGGACTGTATGTACATACTGTAGTGAGAGTCGTAAGTCGGGGACTATCTGCATATGGCGTTGTGGTGAGTCGTAAGTCGGGGACTATCTGTACAAGATGTGGTGAGAGTCATAAGTCGGGGACTGCCTGCATATAGTGGTTATTGTCGTAAGTCGGGGACTATCTGTACATGGCGTTGTGGTGAGAGTCGTAAGTCGGGGACTGTCTGTACAATACATTGTGGTGAGGGTCGTAAGTCGGGGACTGTCTGCACAATGCAACACCCGTGGGATAGCAACAAAAATCTAACCAGAAAACTATAGACAGACATATAAGCAGACAGATATCACCAAGATACATAGAGAGAGAGAGTAACACAGGTACAGAGAGGGAGATCGTCTCTGTGGCGAGGCCTTAAATAGACAGAGGGGGGGGGGGGGGCGGAGAGAGGGAGGGGGTAGAGAAAACATTTACATGTCAATGAGTACGAAGAGACGCGTGGTAAAGTACACACTAAATTAAATAACCTAGCAAAATATCGAAATGTTATGTAATACAACACAGAGAGTCAATCAACACACAACGCATAGCCTGGTCGATTACGTATTTCAAAGATTGCTAAGTTAGAATTTAAGTGTGAAAATTCCAAAGAGAGACAAAACATACAACAAGAGGAACGGAGACACACAGACAGAGCAGAACATAAGAACGACAAAAAACGAGTGGAGACAGAAAAAGGACACTAAATACACAGGGAGAGAGAGAAAACAAAAAACCCAAATTTAAGATCGAACCACTTCTACGGGGAAGTTTCAAGTTTATCTTTTTCTCTCTCTCTGGGTTTTTTGTTTTCTCTCTCTGCCTGTGTATTTAGTGTCCTCCTCCTCCCCCTCCTCCTCCCCCTCCTCCCCTTCCTCCTCCTCGTCGCTGGCGCTCACCTGGCCGCCCGTGGAGATGCAGCGCCGCCACCGCCGCCGCTGCGTCTCTTTCAGCCGCTACGGAGACGCGGAGGAGGAGGAGGCGGTGGGGGGGGGGGCGGTCGGAGGCCGGAGGCACCGTGCTTTGTGACGCTGCCGGCGGCGGCGGCGGGGAGCAGGAGGGGAGGGAGGAGAAGAGGAAGGAGGAGAAGGGGGGGGAGCAGGAGGGGAGGGTGGAGGAGAGGAAGGAGGAGGAGGGGGGGGAGGGTGGCTTCTGCTACGCGGCGTGGCGCAACGTGTCGGGCGACATCTTGCTGGAGCGCCAGGGCTGCTGGGTGCACGACTGCCGTGGGAGGTGAGGAGGCAGACCAGCAGCCCGCCCACCGGATCCCCCCCCACCACCTCCTCCCCCCCCCCCCCCACCTCCTCCTCCCCCCACACCTCCTCCCCCTCACGACCTCCTCTCTCTTCCTCCCCCCCACACCACCTCCCCACCTCCTCCCACCTCCCCCCCCCTCCTGCTCCCTCCCCCCCACCCTCTGGGTGTCCCACTGTGATCAGGAGCAAGTGCGTGGAGTCGAGTAGCAACCCGTTTGTCTACTTCTGCTGCTGTGACAGGGACCTCTGTAACGTCGACTTCGCCCGACGGCCCCGGCCACACGGTCAGTCTTGAGCCGCGAGAGACGCCGGAGATGGTTCACGAGGCGGGAAGAATCGATGCCGTTCCAGCTCTCTCTCGTTGTCGTCACGGCCCGGCCAGGCCTGGCTGGTGTTGGCCAACGGCAAAGAAACGATTTTTTTTACGACCGAGAAAGGTGGATCATTTAAAAGGATGATCATAATTAATATTGCAATGTATGAAGAGCTACAATCGTGCTCTGTGGCGCGACGCGTGGTTGATGTCAAATAAATAAAATATTTTATTTTCTACCTACGTGAGTAGAAAATAAAATATATATTTTATTTTATACCTACGTAACTTTACCGAAATAACCAAAGAGTGTGTATGGGAGCCTTTAACATTAAAGTCTATGGGAGCCTTTAACATTGCAGTCTATGGGAGAATTTAACATTGAAGTCTATGGGAGAATTTAACATTGAAGTCTAATGGAGACTCTAACATTGAAGTCTATGGGAGCCTTTAACATTGCAGTCTATAGGAGAATTTAACATTGAAGTCTATGGGAGCCTTTAACATTGAAGTCTATGGGCGACTTTAAAATTGAAGTCTATGGCAGCCTTTAACATTGAAGTCTATGGGAGACTTTAACATCTATATATATAAAATCGCAAATTTGTCTGTCTGTCTGTGTGTCGCCGGACCATACGCAGTTTCATTGGACGAAATGTGAGGGATTTGCGAGACACGATTGGTCCGTTTGGTTTTCCACGGCGGTTGCCCCTGGCAACGGGTAGCGACGCATTCGCTGCGGGGTGGACGCCATTTTTAATTCCCGTTAAAAATATGTGCACGCATTAACACGCGACTCTGAGGTAAATTCATCAAAGTTTCACGTCCTCTTCACTCCCCCCCACCCCAATGTGTGCAATTACTATTATAGGGTCGGTACATAATAAAATTATAGCGATTAGACAGTATTATTGTAGCGCGGGGGGGGGGGTAACGACCCCAGTACCCAGCCTCAGCCGGGTGGGCAATTTAGGCGAGGCCGGAGGCTCTGCACGGTACTAGGCCTCGACACCCCACCACACTATAGGCCGTACATATTACTGCACAGCGGCCGAGGAGATCGTGGCTGGGGGGGGGTGGGGGGGCAGGGGTAGCAGCCCATCTGTGTATATATGTAAGGTTATTAAGAAATATATTTTTCACCCGGGCAACGCCGGGTACTTCTGCTAGTTGAAGTATATTGGAGCCTTTAACATTGAAGTCTATGGGAGAATTTAACATTGAAGTCTATGGGAGCCTTTAACATTGAAGTCTATGGGAGCCTTTAACATTGAAGTCTATGGGGGAATTTAACATTGAAGTCTATGGGAACCTTTAACATTGAAGTCTATGGGAGACTTTAACATTGAAGTCTATGGGGGGATTTAACATTGAAGTCTATGGGAGCCTTTGACATTGACGTCTATGGGAGCCTTTAACATTGCAGTCTATGGGAGACATTACCATTAAAGTCTATGGGAGACTTTAACATTGAAGTCTATGGGAGACTTTAACATTGAAGTCTATGGGAGAATTTAACATTGAAGTATATGGGAGCCTTTAACATTGCAGTCTATGGGAGACATTAACATTAAAGTCTATGGGAGACTTTAACATTAAAGTCTATGGGAGACTTTGACATTGAAGTCTATGGGAGACTTTAACATTTAAGTCTATGGGAGAATTTAACATTGGAGTCTATAGGAGAATTTAACATTGAAGTCTATGGGAGCCTTTAACATTGAAGTCTATGGGAGCCTTTAACATTGCAGTCTATGAGAGACATTAACATTGACGTCTATGGGAGCAGCCCCTGTGAGTGCCTTCACAGCTGAGCCTCCTGTTGCAGAGGTCACTCAGCAGCCTACGCCGGTGGCCAGGCCGGTGCCCACGCCAGTGACCCTGCTGTCCGTCACGACGCCGCTGCTTCTGCTGCTGCTGCTGCCGCTCTCCGTGTGGACGTACCGGCGATGCCGCAAGCTGACGCACGCCACAACGCCTCCGCAGGTGGTGGTGGTGCTGTGTGTGTGTCTGTGTGTGTGTGTCTGTGTGTGTGTGTGTCTGTGTCTGTGTGTGTGTGTCTGTGTGTGTCTCTGTGTGTATCTCTGTGTGTGTGTGTCTGTGTGTGGCCTCAAGGTGCACTTGGCCTGGCACAAGCGTCGTGGTGACGTCACCGCCACTTAGTGGCGAATGGCGGTTGTTGTTGTTGTGTCTGTGTGTGTGTGTGTCTGTGTGTGTGTGTCTGGTGGGGAGCGGTAGTGTAGTGGTTAGCGCGCTGCACTATGAACCTGGCGATCCGGGTTCGATTCTCGCTCACGGCGAACACCAGTGACGATTATCTGAACCGGTCCTGGGCCTCCCCTAGTTCGACTCAGCCTCAAATGAGTACCTGGTGCGGTGTGTAAACATCGCCACTATTGAGACACGTGGAATGTTCGAACGCTCACTGCGGAGGAGAGGCTGCCACACCTCTGTCGGGAGCTGGACCGGTACCGTCTGGATCTTTGTGGCATTCAGGAGGTCCGGTGGACCAGGTCTGGATGCTGCCACTATGAGGGGTGGACAGTCCTCTACTCGGGGCAGAAGACTACTAAACAATAGGGAGTGGCTCTTGTTTTGAAAAAAAGAATGAAGGGGGTGTGGGAGCGTGGCAGTGAGGTGTGGGAAGCTGTAAGCCCCAGGCTATTTTGGGCTTGCCTTCCCATCAACCGGAGGTGAGGACTGGTGGTCGTGGTTACTTATGCCCCCACCGAAGACGAACATCCGTGGAGGGATACAGGCAAGGCCAATGAGTCAGATGCCTTCTATGACCTGTCACAGGTGCTGGCTAAAGTGGCCCCTCGGGATAGAGTCATCTTGTTGGGTGACTTCAATGCCAGAGTTGGCCATGATGCTGGCACCTGGTCTGGAGTGATTGGAAGGCATGGGCCAGATCAGCTCAATAACAATGGTAGGAGGCTGCTAGATTTTTGTGCAGCCCATGGGCTTGTAATTACCAACACGCTGTTCAGGCATCGGCACATCCACACTACATCATGGATGCATGCCGGGTCCAAGTAAGAACATCTGCTGGGCTACATAGTGACGGATCAGCGGATGCGGGCCCATGTCCTTGACACCAAGACCTACTGTGGAGCTGATCTGCCCCCTGACCATCGACTAGTCATCTGTAAGATGCGCCTGCCATTCTTCCATTCCGGTGGTGGGTGGACACCCAGGACCCCATTCCAACCTAAGGTGGCTTGGACTCAGCTTGTAGGCAGGGCAGCCTAAATGTTTCTAACCGGCGAAGATGCTTCGTTTTGGTCGGGTTTAAGCAGGCTGGATTGTGTGAGGAGCTCACAAATCCTTGAAAGATCTGGACAAAGACCCATGGGTGAGCTCCTCCGGCAGACAACGCTGCGTTGGCTGGGCCAT